TAAATCATATGGTTTAATTCATCTGTATTTTTTTCCAAATATGAATTTCATACAAAGGACAACGCTATGCTTCAGTGACTCTTTGACAAAAATTCAACAAATTTTACTACAGAACAATGTAAATGTGAGATATTGCTAAAACTAACTGCGTAATTTCAGCTGATCAGACGAGTTACATATGATAATTAATCTGCATCAGTGATGAATCTCATATGTTATTTATATTTGTTTTCCGACATCACTCACATCCGAAGTGTAGTAATTGATTCACAGCTCGACATTTATTTGATGATTCATACATATATGATCATTGACTAGTAGGGAAATTCCAACATAGAACACATGATATCATGGTATATTCTATGATAACATACACATAAATCATGGAATACATGTCAAAATACAATTGATATTCGCCAATATATTGTCAATGAAACTCATTTTCATGAGCTGTAGTTTTTCAAGAAAAACTCGTTACAAATAGTTGTCGATTGTGACATCAAATCTTTCTTACATTTAAAAAAAACAGAAGAATTAATATGACAACATCTAACATTTTTGCATGTATCGTTTGTAGGGGAAATATCACAATATATGGATAACAATAGCAGACGATCACAGTAGCACTAAGATAAAGAAACGATAGTATTATAATTAACTATCTTCTTACATCAAACGAGAAGAAATGGTGACTAAAATGAGAATATGTCTAATTTGCAAAAATATCGACAATTTCATATAAAAAGATTTTTCTTAACTGATTATGACACCGCTGTCACTAATTAGAACTATTAACACGAAGAAAATGTTTCAAGTCTTTTCTCTTCGAGACAAATCAATATTTCACATGTCAATCTTTTTTTTCCACACCTGTATTTGATGTGCACTTATATTTAATTCACAATATACCAATGGCGTAGCCAGCAGGGTGGCAATTTGGCAATTGCCACCTAAACCAAATTTTATTGCCAGCTAATTTTTTTAAAATGTGGGCAATTGCCTATTGCCAAAAAATGTAAATATCTGTGTATACTTAAAGATTCAAGAAGTGTTTTTTTCAATACATTTTCTCTCGATGAGATCTAATCAAGTGATTTACAAAAAATCAATCTACGATATTTTCCAATTAAAGAATAGTCACAGTAATAATGATCCGATTGTATTTTCTGTTAAAATACTCTGTCATACACTTAAATTCGCTAAAGATACTTGCAATGCTACAGTTGAAAAGGTGAATAAACTACATAGAAAATCTAAATAAAAATCGATTAAGTGTATAAACGACAGTGTTTTGAAAACTCATTTCAGGTATTGAAAGTACTAGTAATGAAATACTAATATGTAGTTTACAGAACACACATATGACTGAACATTAGAATCATGCAAAAAAAAACTTTCATGATGAAGAATTTGTTAGAGATATATGTGGATGTGGATTTATGTTTGTTATTATCCGATGTAAGAGAACAAACTAACTCATGTCTTTGTCCGATTAAAGCAGAAAAGCCAACCTTCTTCATTGCCTGACGCAGGGGCGTAACTCAGCACCTACATCAGGGAACGTAGAGGCGCAATAGAAATATAGTGTACATTTCACCAGGGACGTACCCGACCTGCAAATCTAGGGAACGAAAATTTTTTTCTAAGCACCATTGTAAAGATACTTTTCTTACGCTCTTTTTCGACTCTACTTCGTATTTTGGAGATATCCAGGCAGACAAAGGCCCATTTTAACGCGTTGTTACGTGTTAAAACGTGCACTTTTTAACAGTAAAAAAACGCTAAAAAACGATTTTTATTTTTGCAAAGAAGTTTGTGGGCATTAACATCTTTAAATTCGGTCTTTTTTCAACAAAAACTTTTTTGAAATCGTAAAAAGAGCACTTTTAAACGCGTAAAAGCATGTTTTTTTTACCGATTTTGTTCGACTGGGCAGCCGCGCAGCGAGAAATTTTTCTACACTTGCAAAACTATCCCTTCGTAAGTAAAGAAGAGTGTTAAGTTAATGCCGCCCAAGGCGGCAACTTTTTGAAAATTAATCAAAAATTTCGAGTCAGATAGTTTCAAATTCAATATGAATAAAGTGGGAACTCGCGTTCTATAGTAGCAATGGAAGAAAATCCTTCGTTGTTTTTCGCCGCCAAAGGTGGCCACACCCTGACTCTTTACATTGAAATTTGAATATGAACTTGAAAGAAATGGTAGTTTATATCTTGTTCAATGCAAATCAATGAAGAAAAAAAGAATTGTCAACTTGAAAAATAATTGAAAAATCTAATACTCGAAGCGAAAATTTTTCTAAAATGCGAAAAATTTGCGCGTAAAAAATTGTTTTTTTTTTAAGAAATTTCCCTTCAACAGTCGATAAATCAGTTCTCCACACCTGTTTCCTATTTACACCCCTGAAAATGTTCTAGATCTAGTAGCGAAGAACTGTTTTGTTAATAAACTTCGACAACAGGTGGTTACGTCCACACACTCCCTAGTTACTCCCCTGGCCTGATGAAAGACAATAAAGTGGGATTGATCAATGTTTGACGAAAAAAGATAGACTGACACTCACTATGTCGCTACCATATATTGAGAAAAAAAAAGAATGATTATCGTGACACTCGTCAAAATAAAAAAAAGAATTATCGGCGGCGCAGTAGAATGAGAGAAAATAGCCAGCATTTTGTGCCGTTGAATAATATAGAATAACAAAAGACAATACGCTTGTTGATTGAGACATACATATACATTATACAAGCCTTTATCGTGAATATCTTATATGTTAAAATGCCTGGGGATAAACGAAAACCTGGATTACTAGATTCATTTTTTTCTTCTATTTATGTTTATTTATACTATTTTTTGTTCTATTGACAATTATTTATGACTCTAACATAAAATATTCAAAAATATGAAATTGAAGAATACACTTGTGAAATACTATAAAAAAGCGAGCGAATTTATCTGTTAATGCAGGATGGCTAATTTCTCTTCAATAAACAACGGCTTTTGTAATGCGAATAAGTTTTTTTAAAAATTATTGCCCACTAGATTTTACAATTGTCTATCACTTCCACCTACTCAAAATAATTTAACTGGTAAATTGCCATCTACTTAAAAAATCCTGGCTACGCCACTGCAATACACGTATCACATCAATCTTCTGATCAAACTGGAAAAGAACTATTTGGTAAATCTAAATGTATTTATTAAATCTTTTTATCAAATAAATAAAAAAATCAATATGAACGGCTATACATTGCGAGACCAGGTGTCAAGATACAGAGATATATATTTATATGATAATAAATATAGATCTTACAATTTCACAACATAATAATATAATCTTAAAAAAATCATGATATTCAATAGATTTCAACATATTAGAAAAAATGTTATTAAAATAAAGCTAATCTTATATATGATATATATATATCTGGAGAAAGTTCAGAAAACTTTAATTGTAATAAGTAGTCAAATTTCAAATAAACAATAAAATATGAATACATAATTAGAAACTCATTTGAATTCAAAGAAGGTTCTTGTTTTATATTTCAATCTAGACTTTAATCTTTTCAATTCGAATATTTTCTTTCGTTCTGCACGAAGTTGAAAAAAATCTCGATTTTTTTTCGCTTTTACGTTCTTCTTGTAAAAGTGAGCTGTACACAAATCTTATCTTCATTTATACTGCGTGAAAAATTTGATTTTGACAGCTAGTAGTAGACTCACTTCTTTGAACACACAAATAGTACATATCCTATACGAAGACGTCAGAACGCAAAATTTTGCTTTTTGCGTTCTGCATATTATCTACAAGTTGACATGCAGAATTGAAAAGGTTAGAGACTTATCATTTCTTTTCGTTTTTTCTTCTTTATCATACTTTTCCTACCATTTTAATTTTTACATGTCATCTGTAATGCAGAGTCATGATGAATGTTTCATTATGTTAATAAATAACCGAAAACGCATCGGTAAAATTACTTCTGCTTTTTGTTTTTCATTAATTTTTATTCAAGCAATATGATTATTACCATTCTAGTAATTTTATTTTCGATTTAGTTGGCTGCTGAAAAGCAAGAGCTGAGAACAACAAATTGATTTGTATGATAGACATATAGATCAATCTGTTTTTCAATTGATTTAAGCACACTCACAATCTATTTATTATGTATATGAATCTGGATGAACAATAAATACTGTAAATTGGATTGCTCACGATCGTTAATATGTGATAGTTTCATCAATGTAAATACCATGGTCATCTCAAAACATAATGTACATACACCGTCAATAGATAATTCATATACAATTACAGGATTAGTTAATCAAAACATGAATACTCAATCACAATAACAACAAAAACATCATGAAGAAACATAAGATAATCTAACAGATGAAATACATGTTACTATGCTACTTGATCGGGTACTTTGCGTTTTTCTTATTAAATATACTATATTCATATCAATATATTATTATAGGTACTTCTGTCAATACAAGATAAAGTTAGTCATCGTCATCCTAGTACAGCGAAACAACCAATAGAACATCAAATAAACCAACTAACGATTAACACATCAACAAATACCATTGATAACACTCTAAGTATATGATGTCTTTCACTCTCATATTGATGGTTGAGTGTATAATAATAATTTCATAGAAGATTATTGTATCAAAATGGAATTCCAATTTTGTTTTTCTCTTATATTGGGCTACTCAAGAAATAATATAATATCAACTTAATTAAGAATTTATCTGATGACATTCTCACATAACAGAAATAAACACCGTTCATCATGAAACTCAATATTCTACTCACTCATCCCGCCCTTTTTTTTCCTACGCTTTTTACTTCGACATTTTTTTTCTATCTTTTTCTTTTTGATATTTTTATATAATTCACTTTTTTTCCATGTTTCTTATTTGATGTACTTCGCTTCGACGATTTCTGTTTCGGTCTTCCCTATAAATACCCTTATAATATTGTAAAAGAAAAAAAAATGAATATACCGTTTGATCATATTACGAAGTCAAAAGGTAAAAATATTAGTATAGAATTTTTTGTCTCATTAAAAACTTGATATCATTTTAGATTACATATTTTCTATTGGGGTTCACCGTTTAATCTTAATTTTCGCTTTATTATTAGTTCTTTTTTTCACCTTTTATCTATTTCAAGTTCAATCACTCAACTCTACCATATCTGTATGTAATAATACAAATAAAAGACAGAATTTTACTAATCAAACAAATACACTATTTCAATCTGATAAAATTGTCATTGTATCACATTTTAATGAAAGTTTAGATTGGCTTAATTTACTGGATGATGAGCAAATTCCATATATTGTTTATACACGATTACCTAAGCCATTAGCACATCATCGTAAGATTCGAATTAATAAAGGTAGAGATCCTGCAGCATATCTTCGATATATTGTTGACCATTATTCAAATTTACCATTATCAGTGGCTTTTGTTCATGGACATCGAACATCTTATCATCAAGAAAATCCATCAGATATTGTTACTGCATTACGAGCATTGCAATGGCATAAATATAATTACATGCCATTATCTAGTAGAAACACTCATTATACATTTAAAGAGAATTCAAGTGATCTTCAAGAAAGAATTAACTATGAATTATGAAGGGAGAAGCTATTCTTGCTCATCCAACAATATTTTATTCAAATATTCTTGATTATATTATGTATACTAATTATTCAGATTATTACACAGGTCGATCACTTGAATATACTTGGCATATCATCTTTGGTGAACCAACACATATTAACTATCCAACATGTGATATATTTGTATGCGATTCAAAAGGAAATATTATTGTTCCAATGACTAAAAAGAAAATTCAATAATTCCATAGGACAATTCAAAAATAGTGGTGACGGTACTTTATTTCTACATAGATAACTTGAAGAAATTTTTTTTTCGTAGTGATACATGAAACAATGCTCTAATATCCATTTCAAAATAAAAGAAGGTTGAGAATTTTTGGAATAATTGTTGATGGGCATTAAGTTTTTTAAAAATTAAGATTTTTTAATAGGTTTAGAAGATGTATTTTTTGTTTTAAAAGTCAGAAAAGAAGTCAAGTTTTCATAAAAAACTACCAAACTTGTGATTGGCTAAATCTTTCGACACCGAGCTCACGTAGATTTATTGAACTTCAGTTAATGTCTCTGATACACTACTGTAAATTGAAATTTCCAAACTGCTATATTACACAATATTTTGTATTTAAGAAACCTGACGATGGTTCTGAGAAGACTTGTCAGAAAATCTGGCATTCAAGGTTCCATGCAGTTTCATTTTCTCTGATAAACGAGGAAAATCGCAGTTTTTTTTTGTCTAACTTCAATAAAAAAAACTATTAGAAAAACAACCTCGTCTTTCTTTTATTATGAAATGGATATTAATCTTCTGTACTATTTAATCACTCTTAAGGGGACCCCCCCCCCCCTTTCCCGAGTCAAAATTTTCACATTTTTTGTTTTTCATTTTTTGTGATTAGTATATAGATTTAAATGCCCTCTATCCATTGAGTACACTTTGAGAACTGAAAACCCACATCTTATATATAAAAAAATTCGAAAAAAATCACAAAATATGCTGAAAAAACCAAAAAACAGAAATTTCTTTGCGTTTTTCTCAAAATCAGTTTTTTCAGCACAAAAATAAAGTTTTCCCCCCTTTTCTCCTCTCGCACCGCAATCAATCGACCTGAAATTTTTACTGTGAATACTTCGAATAATTTGGGGTGGCCGTTTTTTTTTTCTCTTGAAAATATTCTTCTTAAGGAATTTTACTAGGTACCACAAAATTGGCACTATAAGAAAAAAACGAAAAAAATCCCCATTTTTTGATAGTGCCGTCAGTAATTTGGTTCTTCTGACCCTTAGGAACGATATTTTTCGAAGAAAAAAAAAACGGCCACCCCAATTTGTTCCTAGTTTCTGCAGAAAAAATTTCAGCTCTAAACAATGCAGTATAAGAGTTTTGCGGGGGGGAAAACTTCAGGTCATTTTTCGCCCTTGGATCGCAAGTATCTCTGGGAAGACAGCATCTTCGAATTCTGAGTCTATGACAACTTTTGCTCTACTCATCGAGATCTATCTACCCTGAAAGTTTCAGAAAATTTCACCGAGCCGTTCTCGAGAAACCTCGGAAAGGGGGGGGTCCCCTTAAGTTAATATCATAATAATAAAATTTCGATAAGAACTATTGTTGTGTTATACTTGACTGTAACATAAGGCAATGTTACCATTTATGTGTATTCTATTGGTTTTCTTTATAGGATATGGGTATGAGTTTAGGGTTCACTTCGAGCAGAGCCACTCTTTGACATGTCAGCACTCACATTTACATTCTTCATCTATAATTACTCTTCGGTCAAATTTTATGAAATAAAATTAAAGGTGAGAAATAATTATTAACAAAAATATTAATAGAACGAAAGCCTTGCGCGAGGTCATCTCTTATTTAGCAACTTTGACCCAATTACAGTGTAACTGCATCATAGTTTGAACGTAATTAAATTCATGGAGACTCATACTTTCAAATGACGTCATCCTAGTGACTTTCATTCACTTCTACGAACTTAAAAGTTGTCATAACTGCCTGATGATAACACACTTATACTGCTGAAAACATGTGATGAAAATAAATTTATTAAAGACATTTTTCTCTTCTATTCAAAATTGAGTCGATAATTCACTAACCGTCGAATAAATGATGATGCATACGTGTAGATACAAAGAAAGTAGATAATAATTCGGTATTATGGACAGTAATAGAATAGGAATGAATTTACTTTAAAAAAAAATCCTTGATTTTGAATGTTTTCTAGTACGAACTGATGCTCGATTCAAAATTATCCCTGAAGAGAATAAACAGCAACTTCAATAATCTTCATCGAAGGTATCCACCTCATTATCTAGAAACACTTCGGCTTACACATAACCTATGTCGGCTCTTTTTCAATAGCTGCATCGCAGCTACTCGTAACTGTGGTACATTAATAATAATCAAGCCTTCGTCAAAAATTAGATGTGGGCCTGAGTCTGGGTATCCCTTGTTATGCCCAATCCACACCTGCAATCACAACCATGCCCCACTCCATCTCTTCAACATAACCATAGCTCCCTACTTGCTCATGCAATGAAGGTCAACAATTTTATATGGATTGATGCACTGACAGAGCCTCTTTCAAACGAAACAACCGCGAGCTTCGTATATAGTTGTAGGACAAAATTATTGAAAAAATACCCAAGTGCCTCCTTTTTTAACAGACATTAGTTACTGTAGAATATTAGTTTTCTTTTTAGTGACGTTTCGACAGTCAATGTTGCTTTCTTCGGACTCTATTGATGTTAAATGAAAACTTGTAGAACATACACATAGTATATTTCTTTTTCTTTTTCTTTTTTGTTCTTGTTGTTGTGGCTTTTATAGTTTGTCGAAAGAAGATGGTAAGAGAAAGTCATTTCTGTCAGCTATCACCGTCTTGACAATCCACTGTAAAAATCACAACAAGAGAAAGAAAAAGTTTTAAAAAAATGCGTATATTCTAGAGATTTTTATTCAACATTAATAAAAATTGGAGACGACAGCATAGACTATCGAAACATCACTAAAAGAAAAATGAATATTCTACGGTAATTAGGAAAAGACTTAGCAATCACTGGCTATTAATTATGACCATCCACGACAAAAATGAATTAATAGTCTATGTTATTAGATGATACTCAGTTTGATTTGTCCGATAACACGGATATCTTGAAATAACTCACCCAATGAAGCCTTCAATTCTTTTCTATTTTGTGTCGGTTTTTTACTTCTTTCATTCTGTTTATTTAGTTGCATCGAGATTGTTCTTTTTTTCTCAACTTTGACCACGTGTTAGTATCTTACACGTTTCAAAAAGTAATCTTTGTTTTACTTGTTATGTTTAGTTGTTCTTCCAAGCAACGATCACCTGTACGTTAACGTTCTATTAGTCGACTGACGCCGATTGAAATAAATATATTTTACCTTAACCTATAACAATCATATATAACTATTACATATTTAGTGGATAATAATGAAAGTTACAGTGACTGGATGGAGCTGCAGTTCGAAGTTTTGCATAATCCAAGAAGTACGATCGAATGATACAATCAAGGCTCTCATACTCAAAATTGAACAGACTATTCCATGCACAAAAGTTACAGACGTTACATATAATGGTAGAAAACTAGATAGAAATCATTCCTTTGGCTATTACAATATTTTGGATGAAACTTTATTAGATATCCGCACGAATACTGAAAAGTGGAGTTCTAGCAAAGCAGCCTGTATGGGTTGCAGTTACCATAATGTGATTCTTCTAACTGCAAATGTTGTCCGTGTACATGAAACTATAGCCCACTTCAACCAGACAGCGATCAAGGCTTCAATACATAAATGGATTGATAAGTTGCAGGCTGAAGATCAAATAAAGATTATACACTTCCTTAATTTTGCTAGTATTGGCCTCAAGACTCGATTTATGATTTGCACCAGAGATATGCTCGAAGCTTATGTTAAAAAATACAGAAATACGGAATATGTTAATCTCATAGATTTTGATTATTGTCAATTACTGAATGAATTACGTTGTCCAGTTTGTTATGCTAAGTTTTCTCTTCATTCAAAGTTCTCGAAAACTCCAGTTCAATTGTGTACTGTCAGTGATAAACATTATGTATGTCAAGAATGTTTCGAAAAAATTAAGTGTTGTCCATTGTGTTATGGTAAGATTCATAGCAACGCTAATAGCTCTGAATATGTTATGAATCTACTTCGGATAAGCATGGAAAAGATTAAAGCATATTGTCTACCAGCAGCATTGAAAGACATTAATGTAAAAGACAATCAACGACCATTTGCGTTTGGTGCTTTTTGTAATGTATTCAAAGTGCAGAATTATGCCATCAAATGTCCTCGTGTTCCGGCTTTAGTTGATTCTGACATAGAAGGTGCTATCATTCATGAAATATTTCTGTCTAGACCATTAAGTCATATACCCAATATTTTAATAGTATACGGAGGTATTCAATTACCAGATTTTGGTATTTCTATTGTAATGGAATTTATTGACGGCCCAAGTCTTGCTACAGCATTGATTAATGACACAATTCTGAATTTAACATTCGAGAAACGTTTAGACATTGCACTTGGAATTTGTAAAGGACTTGGAGAATTGCATTTGACTGGTATTGTTCATAGAGATTTTAAGCCAGCAAATGTTCTTCTTCAACCAGATTCTACTGGACACGGTTACATACCAAAAATAGCTGATTTCGGAGTGAGTTTTCTTATTCAAACAGCATCGGCTACAGCTGTTAAAAGGTCAGGTGGTACTGTTGGTTATGATGCGCCGGAAGTGGCTGATGGAGATACTCCATCATTTCAATCCGACATTTATGCCCTTTCATTTACACTTTACGAACTATTGACAGTTCAACGTCCATTTATCGGTCTAAAAGATACGCAAATAATAACAAAATTTACAATAAAAGGAGAACGTCCCAAAGATTGGGCTGTGAAAGCTGCTCATTCAACAGTTACAGCAATACCAGATATGTTGAGAAATACTATTCAAAAAGGTTGGTTACGGGAACCTAAAAATCGCGCGACTATCGGTGAAATTATCTGTGCAGTAAGAAAAACTATTGATTTAAATTACATAGCCTGTGTGCAAATGTTGTGGACATTTTTTCCTGTTTCTACTGAAGATTCGTCATACGATTTCATCGACCAATATGACACCTTTGAATTATTAGCCATACTGGAAATTATAAAAAGAGTAATAATTGAAGATAGTGAGGCGATTAAACTCTTGTTACAAAACGATTCTTGGGGTTGACGAAAAAGAATGAACTTGTACATATTTTGAACTATTAATAAATTTTATTGTCGAATAATCCTAATCATAATAGGTAAACGCTTGAAAATTACAGATGAAAGTGCTAATGACATGGATAAAATTATTTGAGTCGATGATGGCGACAAAGATTTTGAAAAAAAGATTACTCCAAATAAATCGAAAACGTGTGGAATGTAAATGTGAATAAAGCATTGACTTAGGTATAGATTCCGAATATTGTCGAATTATCCTAAAAAATGAGAACTGTTGTGCATATTTCCCAAATGTTTTATTAATGAACATTTTGAGCTAAGATCGGCTTCGAAATTAAAGGCAACTTGCAGTTTTTCGAATCAATTTCGATGAGAAAAAAATAGAGAGCTGCATTTTTCATCACTCAAAAGAGCAGAATTCAGATAAAGGTTCAATGTAGGATGTAGGTGTGCGGTGGAGTGTGAGTCTGGAGTTTGGATGTGGATTTTCTTCTTTCAAGTCATATGCGAATTCACATCCACCGACAAATCCATATGTACATTTATACACGCACACTCACACTCAGCTGTCATTTGTGTGCTCCATACTTACTCTTTCACTATAAAATACGTCATTTGCTCTCACGCGATGATTCATTATTATGCCTTCTTACCGTTGTTGTTTGTCGTTTTTTTTTCTTTCTTACGGGGTCTCCCCTTTTCCAGTACCCTTTGAGTTTGACTCATCAGAAAAATTCGACACTTTCAGAGCAAATAGATCTCGACGAGTGAAGTAAATATTGCCATATACTCAAAATTCCAGAATGCTTCTCTAAACGAGATATGGGGATGGCAGTGGTTAAAAGCTTCTCCGTTTCCTCATCCACTGACCGTTGAATAGAAATGAATATTTTTTTTTTACACATACTAGAAATACTTCAAGGCTACTACCTTTTACTTCGTTTCCTTCGAAAAGGACAGTCGAAATACGAAGAACACCCTAAAGAATTTAGGATTTTTCAATATAGCTTCTCTCGTAAGAACTGTCAAAACTCAATGGTAGAATATTTTTTCAAATAAAAAAAAAACAGACACCCGAAACACTATCTGATACTTGTAGAAAAAATATGAGCTTGATCGAATGTACCATGCGTGAGAAATGGGAGCGACTTTGTAGATTTTTGCTTAAAAGTCGTGTTTCAAGTAAACTACGATAGAACGACAACCGTGTGTCACACTCTTACAACAATCGATTTATCTTTTTTTTCCACTGTACGGCTATATTTGAGTTCTCAAAACGTCAATAACAGGTAGAGGACCACATGAAGTATATTTAGAGAAGAATATATTAAAAAAAAATTTGGGGTTGGAAAAACAGAATCATCTCTTTAATCTGTTTTATTTTTCTTTACATGCTTTTTGTTGTCAGAGAGATCAGAATAGACCGAAAAAAAATAATGATTCATTATAAATACTTTACAATGAGCAAATGTTGACATACTACGACAAGATGACTAATTCTTTTTGCGTTGCATTTTTTTTTTACAATACGCCATACAGTTTATAAAATACGTGAATCTCATCGTCCAAAGGTATATCAAAAAAAGTAGAACAGCAACGTAGACAAGAAATGGGTAGTTCAGCGTCACGGTCAATCCCAAATTTCGATGCAAGAATTCGAACAAAAGACGGACAAAGATTTCGAATCTCGTATTATGACTTAGTTGATCACATCTTGTTGCTTCGTCAAATAATTGCTCAACCAGAAATGACACAAGACGGACCAACATTGGATCACTTTATTGACGATTATTGCAACAGAATGGCGCGACATGAAATTAATACAAAACATCAACAAATAAAACTTCCAATAGAAACTGAATGGATTTGGCACGTTCATCGTCTTCATCCTTTAAGCTATTATAACGATTGTACTAAACAACTTTCGGACGGAAAACTTGTCGATAAAAAAGTTCGTCAACTTCTACATAGTTATGGAAACAAACGTCATTCAAAGGTCTATTTTTCATCGATAAATAGTCGTCTATTATTCATTCCATCAATCGATTTGAGAAAAGCTGTCATCCGTCAACGTGATTTTCTTGAAAAATTCCAAAGACATTATCTCTATTCATACGACTTAAAAAAGATGGATCGTTCACAATTTGAACATTTAGTACAAAGTTATGTATCATTTATGAAATTGGCTCAAAAGAATCAAATGCTCGTACCAACTTTTGATATTGATTTGATATGGCATACACATATGAGATATCCATCACAGTATCAAACTGTTTCTACAGCTTTATGCGGTTTTGTTCTTGATCACGATGATGCGATTGAGTCCAATATTCTACAAAATGCTTATCAGAAAACTGCTGAAAAATGGGAAAAGACTTATAAATCAGAATACGGCTATAACATTGATCGAAAAAATTTAGAAACATCACAATACATGAGTTCATGTGCAATGGTTTTCGTACCATTTTACATTTCGAGTGGTGGAGGATCATCATCATGTGGAGCGATTGGAGGCGGTTGTGGTGGTGGTGGTGGTGGTGGCTGTGATGGTGGCGCAGGTTGTGGAGGTGGAGGTTGTGGGGGTGGAGGTTGTGGAGGTGGAGGCTGTGGCGGATGTTGAGGTGGCAATAGTTCAGACGACTCAACCAAACAAATACACTTCAGGTTCAAGAACTATATGTATACTTGTTTATAGCTTTTTTAAAGACGCAACAAAATAAATACTTGGTCGTTAACTCCGAAAAACTAAGATTCAAAGATGGGTGTGGGTGTCGGTGGGTGTGTTAGTTCGCTCTTCAACGATATCATACACCCATGCCCATAACTTTGGTATCTTAAAGAAATGTTCTCCAAAACTTCTGAAGCTGTTTCTGCAAACTAGTCTCATTGAGATCTATATATTTGCATAGTTTCGAGTCTGAATTCGAAAATATGACTTTGCTGAAAACCAGATATTTCAGCCTAGCCATGCCATAAGCACGCTATATTTAAAATTTGTTACTTTGCTGATGAGAGCTTTATCTTGATCCAAGTATGCCCAATTTCTCTAACTTACAGTACATAGCAGCCTTCCATTGTAACTTAAATTCTCCCCTCCTGACCATGCTGTCACATCGTCAGACTATTGATTGAATCAAATAAAGACATTGATTCGTTGTTATAAATCAACTTAATTCATGGATTCTAATGACGTTCTTCATAGGACAGCAAGCTTCGAAGGCTTATGAATCATGTCACGAAGTGCAATCTGTCTACATATTTATATAAAGAGATATTTGTTAATTTAGATTTTGAAATATTTTGATGAGTAGTATTTAGTAAATTCTTCATTTCTTTTGAAGAGAAATCCATATCGATTTTGAGCTTGCAGTGATCGATAAAAGGCGAAACTAGGCGAGCTACTAATTGTATTATAGTTTAAAAAGCATATTGTTTTCAAAGTAGACTAAGATTATCTTTAGAAACGATACTGTATCTGAGAAGAAAAGCAACTAGATTTTCCTCGTGATCTTTATAAAAAAACCAGCAGTAATATGGTCTCTAGATAGGGTTGAAAATTCGAGTCTTTTCTCGTTTTATGTTTTAAATTATCGAAAATAATGTCCACATTCACTTAACTCTGAAACACACATTAGCTTATCGGACACCACATATGACAGCTCATTCAATGCAAATAATGAAAACCAATATTTATCAAACTCTATAATTGTAGACAGTAATGAATAATGCTGTAGATAAGAGCTTCGCTAAAATTGTTTATAGTATATTTTTAATTTTCGATACACTGCTCAAAAAAATTATCAAAATCAATATAATAAACTAATTTTCAAAAATTCAGAAAATTAAAATTGGAGGCTTAAGATTTTTTCCTAGTTGAATAGTTTCAATTAAAAAAAATTTAATATTTCAATTAAAAGGTTTTTAAATTTTGGCGTATGCTGGCAAATCAGAATACACGAAAAACATCAAAGCCAGTTTACTCCTGCAAACAAAAACATTAGAAAAACTTAGTCATGCATTCGAAACATATTTCCAGCTTCTCCATCAAACCATTATCAATAGAATTGTTCATCATTTTGTTCGTTGTTTTTCTGCTACTTTCTCTCCAATGTGATTCCGAATGAGATCTAATCTAGTGAGTGTCTGTATGAAAAAGTAGAGATCGAAATATGAGAGAGACGAAAAGACACTGAGAGTCACCGTGTTATGTTGTAATACATCAACCAGATGTTATGCCCCTTTGTCTCCGATATGATTCCAGAAGAGATCTAATCTGGTGAGTGTCTGGATGAAAAAGTAGAGATAGGGTTATGAGAGAGATGAAGAGGGAATGAGAGTTACCGTGTTACGTTATAGTGCATAAGCTAGATCTTGTGCTCCTTTATCTTCGATTAGATTTTGTTGAAGATTGAGTGTGGTGAGATTCTGTGTTAAATAGTGGAAGTGAGAATATGAGAGAGATGAAGAAAGAATGAGGGTCACCATGTTATATTGTAATGCATCAGCTAGGTATTGCGCTCGTTTCTCTGTGATGTGAGTGCAGGAGAGATCTAGTGTAATGAGTGCCTGTGTAAAAAAAGTACAGATAGTGTTATGAGAGAGATGGAGAGAGCCTTATGATCACTGTTTTATGTTGTAATGCATCAGCCAGATGTAGTACTGCTTTGTCTCCGAGTTGATTGTGTTGAAGATTGAGTGTGGTGAGTGTCTGTGTGAAAAAGTGCAGATGAGTATATGAGAGTGATGAAAAGAGAATGAGGGTCACTATATTATGTTTTAACGCATGAGCCAGATGGTGTGCTCCAAGAGTTCCGATTTGATTGCCTCCAATATGTAATGTGGTGGGTGTCTGTGTGAAAAGATAGAAATAGGAATATGAGAGTGATGAAGAGAGAATGAGGCTTACTGTATTACGTTGTGATGCATAAGCCAAATGTTGTGCTCCTTTGTCTCCAATATGATTTAAAGAGAGTTTGAGTGTGTTGAGTGTCTGTATGATTCAATTTTGAAGATAGATTTCAAGCGATTTTTATCTTTGTCATTCAGTTTTTAGAAAAAAAACAGTTTCAATCGACAGTCAGCATTAAGTAGGTCCATTTTAGTCAATTGTCACTCAAAAAAATAATCTGTTTCATTCTAATTTCTCGCAAAGAGATTTCTCCGTGAGACTTTCAACACACAACAAATATCAATCAAAAATCTTTATTGTATGAATGTTTTGAGAGCTTCATTCAGTCAATAAATAAAATCAGAGCATTTATTTGGGTGTGTGTGTGGGTGTGCGTGTCTATCTTATCTCTAGTCACACCCACACCCACCCACAGCCACAGCCACACCCACACTCACTCACACCCACACCCACACACACCCAGCCACCACCACCCCCACACTCACACCCACCCACACGTACCCACACCCTCTTGAGTTTTATATCGAGGACATAATTAAAGTGACAGTGCGGAAAATGAAATGGAAATAAAAACTAATGTACATACGTCAAAGTCATTGATTAAAAGCAACATTTTAATTTTAAAAAATGCTATGAATTTGATTTTTAATCAAAATAATGTATTTATATTTATGACTATGTCTGTTTTTATCAATAAATTGACATATGAACATTAGTTTTGATTCTCTTTTCCGGGTTGTCAAATTGTCTGAAAAAAAAAGAAAAGTTTCTGAATTTTTCTAGTTTTCTTACCAATTCTGAATTCTTTTAGACTTCAGTTTCCTTCGTGACGTAAAATGTGATTATAACTCATGAGTATTATAATACTCAGGTTACATAAGAATGAATGGTTATTTTTTCGTGCGAACACTTTTATACATATATTTTAACTTAAACGTACTGATTAAAGCACCCTACATTCATGGTAGTAATATTTTCTATGAGTCAACTTTAAGAAAAAGCAAACACTTTCATAGAGGATGAATCATTGTATGATTCTGTTTTCGATGACGCACAGATTGCTTCAACAAGGACGAAAGACGTTCTTTTCAATGTTACTCAGGTTTACTCATCACTATCCATAAATTTGTATACGTGAAAAGGTAACACATTGTGTTTGAGTACGACTCTTAATGACATCATCATCGAACTATGTGTCTGATACAAAGTATGTGTAAGTTAACAGAAAAAGTAGCAAAATACATGAATCTCAGATAAGAGTTTTTCTATTTCGCGATTGAAAAATGAAGAAAACATATGATTTTCTCCAAATTATGATTATGGTATCCTAAACTTCTTTATGTTAGATAATGAAATATATAATTATTGCTGAGTAACATTGTCGTTAAATATTTGAACTGAGAGAATTAAACTTATTGAAATTTTCTTCAGTAAATAATTAGATGCATTTTTCTTTCATTCTCTGTCCCATGCATTTCATAATTACGTTTCGAAAACCTTGTGTATAAAAAGAAATAAAAAGAGAAGAAAAAAGCTCCTTGATGGACTCGAACCATCTATCTCCCGGTTCAAAGCCGGATGCGTTTACCCTTACGTCACAGGAGCTCGATGCATTTCTATTCATTAGTGCTTATGACTCTTGTATATACCATTTAATCGAACTTGTACTATTAGAAAAACAGAAAGAACTCTTCATTGATACAACTTTGATGTGGATGATAGCATGTCATATCAACGCACCAACCGATCGAACCAACATAGTATCTCTCAGTCAAGATGTAAAAGAATGTTGCTTACATAGTCTCGCTTATCAGAGCCAATATCACTGGAAATAGCCGGTTCTTCAATGATAACCATTGTCAAAGTTCACGTCATGTTGTAACATATTTCGTTATGGACATGACAAAAACTACAATTACTTACTGACACAAATGAGAATTCATCGTCTATATTGTACTTCTAGTTTTCTATTCGAATGTGTCATCAGTCGCCATATTCACAAGAACCATAAGCACTAATGAATAGAATATTATCGAGCTCCTGTGGCGTAAGGGTAAACGCATCCGGCTTTGAACCGGGAGATAGATGGTTCGAGTCCATCAAGGAGCTTTTCTCTTCTCTTTTTATTTCTTTTTATGCACAAGCTTTTCGAAACATAATTATGTAATACCTGTAACACAGAATCGAAAACAAATATATTTACATACTATACTGAACAACATTTTTGTATGACTTTCTTTTCAGTATGGCTTTCCTAGGAAGTCTACTTTAGAGATGCAGTCAATGTCAAAAGTACAGTTAGTATTACATTATATTCATAGAAAAATTTATCGTTAAACGTTGAATCATGGTGAATTTAGACATATATTGTTTAACTGAAACATTATAAATAGATAAAGCAAAACATAGACTACATTTTGATAACGAAAGCTGTCTAAAAGCAAAATATCTATAAAGTGAAATGCTTATTTTATGACAGATCAATGACAATGTTCATATGGAATCGTGATCATTTTTACATACTTAAATTTTTTCTTTCCAGCTACGATACTCTAGGGAGCATCTGATTGTACGAAGTTTTTAGAAAGTGACCCATCAAAACCAAAGAAGTTATTTCGGTAAACTGTAAATTATCTGCTATCGTATGCAGTGTTAGTCGTTCGTTGGCGTATCAAAAACGAAAGAAAAAGCCATTTAGTATATAAAAATGA